AGTGATTTTGTTGTCTAAAACAATAAAGATGTGGCATCCATAAAAACTCTCGTATATGCACATTTTAAAACTTCAACAAAAATTTTTAGTCTGTTCAAAAATCTTCCACCAAAGAGTTCCAGTGGTTTATTTACTTATTTGTGAAACATTGAGAGAAATTTTGTAAAGGATTGAAATGAATATGGCATATCTTCAGACATCACCAAGAAAAAAAAAGAGGTATTTGTCTTTATATTCTGGATAGTTTCTAAGGTTCTTGTCAAACCTAAATATTTTTAACTGATCTCTCAAAGCATTCTTAGGATGAAGTTATTACTAGTAACAATAAATGTGAACCAATATTTCAAATAGCCTTATTGTTACTTCTGAGGTTTTTGACTGACTTATTGTCCGATATGATCAAGTTATTGCTTTTACCTTGTTTATGTGAAAGACAGAACTTCCCAGAAGTAGAAAACATGTCAGTTCTGCCCTTTCCTTATCAATAAGAAAAAGCTTTATCCTCAATTTATGGTTTCAAAGCTGAAATGTCTTTAATCTAATTTAATTAAAACTAAATAGTATAATATGTAAATCCATTTAAGTGGGCACACTGCAATATATTACAATATGTTAAAAGGAGCTAGCTGCTGTCAGTCCCTTTGTGTGGGAGAACGCCCACTCTCCTCATGGTACTTGGCAGTGGAGTATAACTCATGACTGTCTGACATATGGATTAAATATGGGCGCCGGAGTCTATCTACTTATTTGCAAAGTCAATTTCTATTTTTGGATTGGAAATAAGTAAAAATAGAAGTTCTAATATTTTTTTCTCATGCCCTCTGGGGAGCCTACATCCCACTTAGGAGCATACCGGTTTCATAGTGTAGATTGGTGATTTGTTGCTGCAGTAGACATTGTTCAGCTAGTCCGAGCATTCAGTCCCTTCTTTTCCTGACATGACCCTGATTTTCTTTGGGGTCATCCTTATTTGCTTAAGCCTATCTAGCCCAGCCCAGCCCCCTCATCACAGTGATCAGCATGAGGATGTCAAGAAACTGGATTTAGGCTTTAAAAAACACAAATCCCAGGACTTTTGTAGCAGCTCCCAAAAGAGGCTCTCTCCTTCATCCAGATGGTGTGGTCCAAGGGCATGAGAAGGCCAGCACTACAACCAGTTTCCCACCCTCAGAGCATAGACTGGAACTCCCAGGAGCCACTGCGTGAAACCCAGGGATAAAATAAGATTGCTTGAGGTAAAGGTGAGAGATGGCAAGAAATTGGGTCCTTGGTGACCTTATTTGAGCTCTTGGATGAAGTCTTTCCTGAAGCCAAAACTACCCCCTGGACTTCTTAGCTGTATGGCCAATAAATTCCATTTATTTAAGTCAGCTTCTCTATTACCTGCAACCAACAAAATTCCTGTTACAGCTGTCAACTCCTTCATGCAGTTTGTTTTGTTGTTATTGTTTGTTCGCTTTTTGTTCATCGTAGAGAGTGACATTAACCATTCTGTAGCAGAGTTATCATGAGTACCTGCAAGGAGGACCTTCTATTGAATCACTCCCTTAGTAGCACACAATAATTATGAGCTTATGTACGAGGCACTATTAAAAGTACTTGACATATATTTACACATTTCATCTGTACAATATCCCTACCCTAGGAAATCAGTACTATTATTATCCCCACTTCACAAGTGAAGAAACTGAGATGCAGAGAGGTACATAGCTTGCCCAAGGTTACATAGTAAGTAGGTAAGCCAAGATTTACTACCAAGGCAATCTGGCTTCTAAATCCAGGCTCTTAATCACAACAATACACCAGAAAGACTGTGCTACTCACACACTAACATTTAGCATTATCCAACTGTCTAATTTTTGCCTCTGATGATTGTAAAGTAATGTTTACCACTTAATGTATAACCTTGGGCCAATTACGTAAAATCCCTGTGTCTCAGTTTCCTTACCTGTAAAATGCAGGTAATAAAATAATACTGATTTCATAGGATCGTTGTGCAGTTTAAATAATACCAGTGACTTTTGAGCATCTATTTCTTGGTCATTTGGGATTCCTTTTTTGTGGAACTGCCCGTTCATACCCTCTGTCCATTTTTCTCTTGGGTTTCCAGCCTTTTTCTTACTGATTTGCAGGAGTGACATTTATATTGCACTTACGAGTTCCATGTCAGTTTTAGATATTGAGTATCTCCTTCTAATCTATTATTTTTTCTGTGGTGCCCTCGATCGAACAAGAATCTGTAATTTTGACAAAATCAAATCCAGTGACTGTGCCCCAAACGTAGAGAGAACCAAGATAAACAAACAAACAAAACACAAAAAAACAAAACTGTTTATGCCCTCAGCATCTTAAAATCTAGCTGGACAATCAAAAACAAGAACTATGTGAACAAGTGTTAAACATCACATAACAGCATGCAATAAAATGCCAAGTTGTACATGCCAGTATAGCCGACTGTTAACCTTGGAAAAGTATCCAAATTCTTCTGAGCTTCAGTTTCCTTATTTGGGAAATGGACGCAATAAAAAAACGCCTTTCAGTTTGTTGTGATAATTAAATAAAACAAGACGTGTTGAATGGCTCTGTAGTACTAGAACACAGTACCGACAGCAACTCCGATGCAAAGCAGGGTTAATGAAATAATGGCCACCATTTATTACCTGCCAGGCACTTTAACCTACCACATTACATTCCACAGTCCTCTGCAAGACATTATCATTGCTATCTGCAGATGCAGAAACCTAGGGTCAGGGAGTTTAAATAATTTGATGAAGGTCACACAGCTAGTAAGTGGTAGTGACCGCGTTGAAAGCCAGATTTGTTAGACTTTAAACCTCAGGTCCACTATGCCAAGTTATTGTCAGAATTGGTGCTAGAGAAGCAAAGAAACTCCACTTGGGTCCTGGAGAGAGAAAGACAGACTTTGACTTTGAATAGATACAAGGAGGAAGAAAGGAAAGGAGATCATGCCAGATTCTGAAGGGGTGCAGTTGATGTGCGAGTGATAAAAAGTATTTTGAGTTATTAGAGGGCAGGAGCAAAACCTTATACATCACATTTGCCTTCAATCCTAGCACAGAGCCTGGGACAGAGGATGAGGAGGACATCTATTCCCTACTTCTCTTTTTTCCATATCAAGGAAGCAAGAATGAGTTGTCTGACTGGTGAGCCGAAAGAGGAACTAAGTATGTGTCGCTCTGACCCCTCAAGTTTGGGGAGCTCACCTGCCCTAGAAATCATGTATTTTCTGCTTTTCCAGAAACTGTAAAACTGCAGTCAATTTTGCAAAAGCAGATTTTCACAAAAGGGGTCCCTCTGCATCTCCAGCCCTCTCTATCAGTCATGGGAAGTGGGGGGGGGCGGTTCTGGCTTCCCAGTGTTACACAGCAAATTGTCCAATTCCTCTTGGGACTGCCAGGTACTACAAGAACCATTTAACATGTCTTATTTTATTTAATTCTGGGGTGAAGTACATGCAGATCCATTGTCCTCGCAGATCTAAGCCATAGCCACCCTTCCAGTGCCCGCTCAGGACAAAGCTGAGATTTTCCTTTCCGTCAGTCCGACTCCAGCGGCTATCTCAATGGATCACGAACGTGCGTGGGGAACATGGGTGCTATCCGAAACCCCCTAGAACCACAACAGTAGGCACTCAACAAACCAATGAATATGAGAAGTTCAGAGGACAATGACAATACTGGCTTGATTTGAGCAAAGGGAGTATATTAAGTAGTTGAAGTGCGGTTAGATAAATAGGTTGGCCCCAGTAATGGGAGACTTTAAGGAAAGGCTGAGAATTTAGATCCAATGTGGAAGAAGAGTGCTGAAAGTTTCTGAGAACAGTGTTAAAATCAGGTAGTGAAAATATGGCAATGGGTTGCAGCGGAGACTAGGGGAGGAGAGCCTGGAGCTGGAAAGCAACCAGAGGTGGTTTCCAGAATTCCGGAATGAGGGAGGATGAAGGTCTGGCCTAGGGAAGTGGAAATGTGAACGGCAGTGAAGAGATGCATGTGAGATTCAAAGGGAAAACTGCCAGAACACGGTCAAACCGGCGTCTGGGAAGTGGGGAAATGTTTTGATGGCACTCCTCTGAAAGAGGTAAATGAGCAGGCCTGGGAGCTGGTGAGAAGTGGGGCTCAGCCTTGGGCATGTTAAATCTGAGGTGTCAAATGGATTTGTTCTCAGCACCAGAAACACCAGACACAAGGTAGGAAAGATGCCACAGCTAGGTGTTTGGGGAGTTAACACCTTCAAAGAGGCAGTGTATGGTTGAAGGCCCCTGGGAAGAAGTCGGTGGAGATGGGAAGCAAAAAGAGGGAGGGGACCTGGGACGACTGGGGTGGGAGCAAGGGCACAGGTGATGGGGGCGGGGGGTGGCAGAAGAGAGGAGGGGGACACCGCCCCTGGACCAGAGCGAAGGACGGGATGAGGTTGCTGGCAAACGCTGGAGTCAAGATCTTCTCAGCAGAGGGGAGCGGCTCCCACCTCTCCCCGAGGAAATTCACGGTTGAACCCAAATCAGCCTTCCCCATGCTGGCTGGTCTTCCGGGCCCTGCGCCCACTTCCTCGCACTCTGTCTGCCGTGACGCCCTGGTCCCTGGGCCGTGAGGGTCCCTCTGCACCTCCGGCCCTCTCTCCATCAGTCGTGGGGGGCGGCTCCGGCTCCCCAGGCCGCACGGCGCCCTTTCCTGCACGTTTCCGCCCCACACCCGGAGGGGAGCCCCCTGCGGCACCGCCCACCTGGCCACCGCCGCAGCCCGCGCCCACCGCCCGCCAGGGCTGCCGCAAGCCAGCGGGCCCTCCCGGGGGTGGGGTTTCGGCCCCCCACCCCTCTCCGCCTTTGTTGCAGCGCCCCCCGCACACCCCCTCTCTGTCTCTGCCTCCGCGTCCCGGAGGCCTGAGGAGAGGGGGGTTCGGGCGGCGCCGGGACGCACGCGGGCTCCCCAGAGCGAGGGGCGGGGAGCACCGAGCGGAGCCGCGAGCGGCGGGGGCCGCTGCTGCAGAAGGGGAGGAGAATGGGGAGGAGCTGGGGGGCAGGCAGTCGGGGAGGGAGGGGTCTTAAGGGGCGGCGAGCGCAGGTCGGATTTCCTCGGAGGCTGCCGAGCAGCGGAGCTCCCACCTTCCCTGAGAGCTCGCTGCAGCCGCCCAGCCCCGCGCCCTCCGGAGACCGGGACGGGACCATGGTGAGAGCTGGGCGCGCGGCGCGGGGCGCGGTGGCCAGACCCCTCCGGGCGGCCGAGGGTGACCGGGCGGAGGGGGCGAGTCTGCGGGACCCGGAGAAGTTTCCGGCGTGGGCGCGGGGCCCGGCGCCTTCAGTCTCGCTCTCCTCTCTTCCGCAGATGTGGACACGTTGGCTCGCGCTCGCGCTGGTGGCGGTCGCCTGGGTCCACGCCGAGGTAGGTGAGCGGCCGAGGAGGTCCGAACTCGGGCTCCGGGGCCACTCGGGTGTGCGCGCCGGACAGGCAGGGAGGGCGTCCTGGGGATGTTCTCCCGGGGTGGGACTGGGAGTTTCCATGCGTGGGGTGAGGGGGCGCTCCGAGCACAAATGCTACTTGCGAAACTTAAACCTCCAAATCAGGAAAAGTAGTTTGGGCCATTAGCGGGAGCCCCACCGCGGCTAATATGGAGGGAGAGTGAGGAGGGGGAAAGAGGCGAGCTGGGCGGGTTGGGACGGAGGCGGCGACGAGAGCGGCAGCTGAGTTCAAGAAGGCGCCTTTGAGTTCTTTCCTTTACTTAAGAGGAAATTAAGAATAGTTGGGGGCTTTTTCCTTCCAAGGCTGACTCCTCGGGGAAAGGGGAGGGGAGAGATTCTTCCTTTAGGGTGGAATGCTTTTTTTCTTTTTTTATAAAGTAAGATTATGATTCCCAGCATTTTTTTTTCTTTCTTTGTAAAGTGCCCTCGGATTCTGTGTTAATATCAGGGCCATATAACAGCCTTTTAAAAGCTCAATTTTCCCTTGATCCAGCGTTGCGCAAGTGTAAGAGATCCGTTGCTCTGCTCTTTGGGGGCTCCGCGTTTCCAGTCAAAGTATTTCAGCGCTTTTTTGGTAATGTTTTCCTTTCAACTCCAGTGACCTTCCTGAGACACTACAAACAAACCAACAAACTCTTCACTCACAAGCCCCTCCGTTAACTCAAAGGTTTATGGACAGAAAATAAACAATTCCAAATTCCCTGGGCTCTAATCTCCAGAAGAGTGAGGTCAGAAACCAAACATTTGATAATTATGGCAGGAAATGTGGAAGGAATTAAAAAGCATGAGGGAGAAGAAAAGGAATGTACATTACAAAAGAAATAGCTCCCTGGTGGGTGGTTATTCTCCCTCTTTGAATTTTTTTCTTCATATTACAGTTTAGCCCCACCCTTTGCATCACAGCTTGAGTCTGCCCAGAAAAAAATCATAAAAGCATGCAAGGTCTTCATGAGTTAAAAAAAACAACAACACATATATTACTTTCAACTCATACATAAACTCTCACTTAATTCACTACTATGTTATTGGTTGTACTGGAAACACAAGCTCACAATGAAATTTAAAAAATAGCTAATATTTACTGGATATCTACTTTGTGTTGTAATGAAACCCCACTTTAATGATGGGGAAACTGAGTCAGAGGTTATGTAATTTATCCAGTGCCCTAAGCTGTTAAATAGTAGGAATAGGGATCTGAACCCAAACAGTCTGGCATCATACCCCAGGTTCTTAACCACTATCCTACAGAAGACGTTCACATTTGGTGCACTTCTTACATAGCAGACATTGGACTGCATGTGTCATTTCTTTTCAATCTTCCCCAACCTTATGAGGTCAGTTTTATTATCCCCATTTTACAGAGGAAGAAAGAGGTTTAGAAGATTAGATAAACTGCCCAAGATCACACAGCTAGTTAGTTCTGCAGAAGGATCTGAATCCAGCTCCCTCAATGTTTGGGGCCCATCTTGAACTCCAGATCTGCTTCTCATGCATTTTGTTTTCCAGGGTTTGAATTTGAGGGAGGATCTCTCTTCACTGGTTGATTTAGCCCTGGCTAAGGAACACCCTTCCATCCCTGCTGGGGCCCTCAAACGGCAGCTGCAGTCCAATGATGGATGAGGTGAATCCCTGGCTGGTTTTACGGCAGGCTTAGGAATTGCCAGCTAGTGTGTGAAATCACTCAGTGAACTGGAATGCAGTTGTGAGGTACGAGGAGGCTGTTGATTCCTGCACCAGGAGACTGAAGGCTGAAGGCCCTGTGACCCAAGGTCCAGGATCTATTCAAGGAAGCCTGCACTCTACCCCTCCCCCCAACCAGCATTGCAGGGAAAAGTTTTGCTCTCATAGGAAGCTCCCGCAGCAGCAATTTCCTGCTTCGGGTAGAAGAGCAGAGAGTTCTCCCACCAAATTCCCAGACAAAATCAAGAGGTGCTGAGGCATGAAAACTGAGAGTTGGAGCAGAAAGTAGGCTGCGAACTCAGGGTACCTGAGGAGTAAGGAGGAGTAGGTGTGATCCTGGTTACATTTCATGGCTCCAGATTATTAAGGATTATCTTTTTTTTTAAAGATTTTATTTATTTGAGAGAGAGGAGAGAGTAAGAGGAAGGGAGAGGGAGAGAGAATCTGAAGCAGACCCCACACTGAGCACAGAGCCTGACGTGGGGCTCGATCCCACTACCACGAGATCATGACCTGAGCTGAAACCAACAGTTGGACACTTAACTGACTGAGCCACCCAGGTGCCCCAAGAATTATCTTTTAATCAATCCAGTCTCTTGATGTCTGGCCTGAGTAACACGTGGCAGGTTTTTAATCCATGTTTAATAATAATATACCTTTAATTATTAATGAAAAGGTAAACTAATCCTAGCAATTTATATATTATTTTAAGTCTTTGTCTTATAATTGTGCTTGCAATAGAATTTTTTTCCTTCCTAGGTATAAGAACATACAGCAAACAAAGCCAAATAATGATATTTACAGCCTTTATTGACATGCATCCACTTGAGTAGACTTTAGGGCTATAGTTGTACAAATATTGTCGAATTTTTTTAAAAAATGAAATTTAGAAAATAAACTTAGTTTTCTTGGTGCTTTTTGGTTTAATACAAGTATTCAACTCAACATATTTTTTAGATATGTGATTCCCTGACAAATCATGTTGATATTGGAAGGAGCCAAGCCTTTGCGATAGTAGACCTCCAGAATCAAAGGTGTCCCAGGCTTGGGAAAAGGTGGTTGTCATCATTACTAATGCCAGTCTGAAAATACTGTTTGTTTAGATTCGAGAAACTATTAACAAATCTCATTGAGGAAAGTGTTATATTTCGAATGTTTTCCCTGGTCTCTTTCTCACTTGGCACTACTTGCTTTTTTGATTGTTTCCTCTCTTTCTTACTTTCTCTTTATCACCAATGTATGCCTTCTGGCACCCTCCCCGCAAAATCTGCCCTGTCCCCCTGAGCTCACTCATAGGCTCCTTTACAGTCTATGCTTGAGAGGGGGTATTGGGGAGTGAGGCCCAGGTCTGTTGAAGAGCATATATTAGCATCTGTATGGGTGAGGAATGGGGGGTGGCAGCAGCTTGAGGGAGTGCTTCAACTAACAATTACAAGGCTACCCCTTTTCTAGATTCTGTTGGGAGGGGGCTATGTGGACTTGCTCATTCTCCTTCACCCATTCGCCTCCCACCGAGAATTACCGCAGTTCAGCGAGAGGTGTGGACAGAGGCCAGGAAAGTTTGACAGTCCAGGCATGAGAGCATGTGCCCTTGAGTCTCAGTAGGTGGATCCAAGTCCACTCTAACATGGCAGGCTGGAGGGGACTCTGTGGCCCAACTGCCTGCTTCTGAAAGACAGCCTGGCAAGCACCCAAGACACTTCCGCTCTCCCTCGGTGGTTGTGTCTGCCAGCACTCTGATTGCCAGCATCCCAGGTTTATAGACTCACCATGGTAAGTCACATGTGCAGGGGACTGATGCACAAGTCAAAAACTCACTCCAGGAAGGAAAAACTTGACCCACGAATTGTGAGTGCATCACTTAAGATAATAGAAGAAGAAGGAGAAGGAGAATTACCCAGAGAGACGAGAAGATTATTAGGTCATTGTCCCTCTGAAGCCACATTTCTCATTTACACCCTATTATCAACGTACAAGTTAATCAACCACTAGGAGTTTTATTGGCTGATGTGGGATCTTCTCTATATCCTTCAGAATTATTCTAATGGTGGATTCGGGAGGACCAGAGTCTGACCCACATCCTCTGACTCCTCCTTGGAGCTGCAGCAGAACTAGGATTTTAATATCCATCTTGTACATTAACCACTAAAATAATACCTTGTTTATCCATTGGCAAATAAACTACTTGCTGTGATCCTAAAGACCATTGTCAGAAATTAGAATGTTAAAACATAGCAGGGCCTCTGCTGATTAACCAAAACAGTTGGGCAAGCACCCTGCACACTGAGGCCCTGGCCACTGAAACTGTCTTTAGAAAGAGGACATGTTACAGTTCCCATAGAAATCTCTAGATTGGGTGATGGAATGCAGGAGTCAGTTCTCAAGCTCAAAGGAGCTGGTTGGGGAGGAGCTGTGAGATGGTGATCAGAGGGCATGGGCTGCAATGGATGTAATGTCCTGGGGAAGAAAATAAAGCCTTCAAAGTCAGTGAGTCGGAAAGATGTGTTTCTAGGAAAACAGAGAAAGAAAAGGATGAACTGTAAATACCAGTGGTCACACATCATGAATTGAAAATGTCAGTGTTGTTTTTCTACTCCTCTTCAAATAACTGGACATCAAGACAAAATTTCTAGCAGCCATAAATAGGATTAATGTAATGACACCAGATATTATAGGATTGAAGAAAACCTTACACTTAGACGGATTCATTTTGTAAGCCAGATGATTACTGTCATGCAAGTCAATGCATAATTTTCTCTAAGGTGCTATCTTCTGGTGCCTGTGACTTTGGCTTGGGGTGCTTTCTCTAGGACTGAGTCATTACCAGCACAGACCTTCTCTTCACGGGGCCCATCAGCCAGTATCCCTGCCACGGGCTGAGCACGCCCTACAGAGTCATGCATGAAGTGCAAGACATGATCTCTGCCCTCAGGTTGCTTACGATCTAATGATGGGCCAGATGCTTTAAACTGTAGCAGCTGTAATATCTTAACTACATGAGAAACAAATATCTGTATAATTATTGCTTTTTTTATATTAACTTAGGGCTTCCCTTGATTTTTAAAGTTTTTTTTTTTTCCATTAGTACAATGCACAAATCCTTAAGGTATAGCTTGATGAACTTTAACATGTGGCTACACCCATGTAGCCACCACCCAATCAAGACTAAGGGAGTTGGTACAGAAAGCAGGCTGTGAACTCATGGTATGCGGAAACAGTTACAATGAAACAAGTGAGCAGTAG